CCTGCTGAAAACAAGTATACAGCAGGCCATTTAGTAATTTCATCTTCTACGCCAAGGAAATACAAGTTTTAAGTAAGTATTGGCATGCCTAAAGTTATATGCCTAAAGCAACTTTCATTTTTAGGACTGAAAGAAGCCATGCTGAATAGTCATAATTTGTAATGATTTGCTGAAGTTTGAACACCCAATAGCTAATCTTAAAAGATATCAGTACTTTGAACGTGTAGCAGATTTAGAATAAATGTTATACTTTAACAAGAAGATCAGTGCTGGTAAGATTTTGATTCCAAGTACCCACCATTTCCCCCCAACCCCCGATTTAAAAGGTATCCCTAATTAAATACATAATCTATCCTCTTTAAACTACATGAAACTTCTTTTCCCTCTCAGCTTCGATTTGCAAACACAAATGATCTGTTTTCTCCTTTATCTAAAATTATTTTAGGCACTGCAATAAACTAATGTTAATTGGCTTATGGTTAATAAATTTCATTACTCTTGGCTGACAAGAGAAGACCCATACAGCAAGCAGCAGAACTCTCCTTCCCAAGTCCTAATGATAAGCATCCCATGCATTCCCTCCTCCCAGTTTTGAAGTATATAAAAGGTATTAAGGGAAGCATTCCACAATGACCAGTTTTGGATCAGAAGACCCCAAGAGTGACAGTAAATTTAAGTATTGAATTTGTTTAACTTAATGACAAATCTATGTATTTTATTGTAATAGTTAGGATTCTCAGTCTGTCCTCCTCAGGTAACACTACACACACAAAAAAATTTGTTTCTTTGCTCAGCCTGAGTTTAAGCTGGTTTTCTCCTTTTTCCACAAGGGGACTGAATGTTTTGTGACTAGAAGTCTTCATGAGGACAGCAAAAGTTAACTAACTTTCTGGGTTGTCCGGCTTTCCCTTTGATATTTTAGGTAACAACTGGCAGGCAAAGTCAATGAAATTTCTAAGTATCATTAGAAGAGTAACTAGAGGAAAAAAAGAAGCTAAAAAAGTCCCAGTCAGACCACAGAAACTTCATCCGAAGAAATTCAACCTGCCTGAAAGGAGCACAAGAGGCATTAAGTACTTCAACATAAACTGCTGCATGAAAAAGATTTTCCTGAAGATTTGTGAACTGCTTTGATACTAGTGTGTTACTTTCCTATGAATTCAGAGTATTGTTGAATTCTTTTTACAAAAATCAATGTGTCTTAAATTTCTACAATTAACTTTGAGAATTCTAGTATTACAGAATCAAAATGCCATTATCAGCCTAAATTTAGGGGTTTAGGATAACCAAGAGCTTCAAATACATAATTCAGGAAGTTTTTTTCTCTTCAGTATCTTAAATACAAACACTTGTCTGAATACGGATGTACCTTTCAACAGCCCAGCATTTAAAATTACAGTACACAGCTAGTTACAGAATATATGTTAAAATTATTTAAAGAAAGGAATTAAACTCTCCTTCTTCCAAATTTGCTTAACTATACTTGTATCTTCAATAAATCAAACAACTATGCAAAGAATGATTCTGCAAATTAATCAAGGCAAAAGAAGAGCCAAAGAAATAATTTCATCTTCAACTTGTTTTATTTTATCAAGACAGGAGCTAATGCAGAGTTAACAACACTGAACACACTGTTCATCATGCAAGAATATATTTAATTTTAATTCTTTTCTAACTACTGCTACTCAGAGACAGTATGGGATTTTTTTATTTGCAGGGTAGAGCATTTATTAACTTGTCTCAAGTGTGGCACAATCAGAATGTTCTGAACAGCTGGTTAGGAAGATAGCCAAGATGCAAGAAAGATGTCTGAGCCTCCTTTTCAAGGGCAGCCAACTCTTGTACTGTAGGTGCCAGAATATCCACATGGCCTTTATACAGCCCACCTGCCAAAAGAGACCCAATCTAAATGATATGTTTGAAGTAATTTTTCAGCACAACTAGTAACATTCAACCACAGTCATTCAGAAAGTTAAAGTAACTTTGTCTACTTGTTAAAAAAAGCACAAAGAGACACAGGCACATATACATTTTTGTCATTTGTAACCCATAGACTGCCTGTAACAAATGCAGAAGACGGCAAAGAACTAGCAGGTTTTTTTAATCTATCATTCTGTAGTTACATAGAAGATAACCTAGAAACTGAGCATTGCACAGCAAGGTAAATCAAGAGTAGTTAGTTCACTGCTTACCACCCAGTGCTCTTTTCTGCCCGTATGTAACTTTCCCATCAAAATCATCTACTGGTACTTTTATGTCTGGTTCAACTTGGGCAATAGTGCAGTTTAAGTGTTCTTCAATCTCCCCCAGCAACTAAAAATATAAAAATAAAAATGCCTTAAAGTACTCTTCTGGTCCAAGACCTCAGTCAGGCTAGCATTCTGAACAGTCACATTCAAGTAGTTTCAACAGGAACTGTACACAGAAAATAATTTAGTCCCAGATACCAAAGACTAATGCATTTTTTGCTCAAACAGACTGTACAAATTAATTTCCAAATCTCAGTATGTTTTTACCCCATCCAGAAACGTTTTTTACATACTATCCTACTTATGTGAATGGGGCTACTTTTTTATAAAGAGTTGGCTGTCCAAGCTTATTTTACTACAGACAATATATTATTGACCCTTCTTTAATATAGAAAGAAGGGAAGCACTGTGAATTTAACAAGCATTCATACTTAAGTACATTTTCATTGGGATTTGTATACAAGTCACACACTATTTCCAGGTTAGAGTAGCAATAGTTTTAAGTTAGTTACAGGTTTTCAACAAACCATCTAAACGAAAGTGTGTAATTAACATCCTGTAACTCTTAACAGCATTTATTAGGAAGACTATAGAGAACCTGAAAATGAGACTCCAACAGAATTGGCTGGGAATATTAAAATAAGCCTTGAAGTAACTTACAGAAAGTATGACTTTTCTTCTTCAAATGGAATCAAAGGTTATAAACACTCCAAAACTAGCTTTGTACTTCAACTACACAGCTAAAACAAGAACTATATCCCCAGTCTTTTAGAGAGATTAGAACATTCTGATTAAGCAAAATGTTTACCTGCATCTCGTTGTACCATATGGTACAACCTCCTTCTTCCTTCAGTCTAGTATTATAACACCCTTTCCCACGACTACTGCATACATGATACCAAACCTAGAAATAAGGGAAAAGAACTTCTAAACTTTGTGAAATAGTTTAGTACGTTCATTTTGATTAATTATAGCATGAAAAAGAATTCACATATCTATTTAAATTCCCTGTCAATTAAGCAAGAACGAACAAGCAGTTTTCCAAAGCAGGATACTGAAGTCGGACATCAGCTGTGGATAGAACTTCAGTAAATAACGTCTGCTCAATTTTGCTTTGGAGTATAATTACCTTTTCTTTCTCTTTTGCCACAAGGGAGATTGCCAAACCCATCCTGAAATATTAGGAGAGAAGAGAGAGATAAAAATATGTATTTCAGTAACTATTGCCAACTTATGAAACAACAACAGCAACAAATTAATCAAGAAAACATGGCAACTACTCTGAACACATACATACCTCTCAGCTCTGCCTACTCTCCCAATTCGATGAACGTAGTTCTGTTTTTCATCAGGGAGTGTGACGTTGATAACTGTATAAGGTACGCACAATCCACAGAGAATACAAGATTAAAAAAATAAAATATACAAGTTAAGGTCACAGAGCAGACACCTAAAATAATTATGATTTTGATTGCTGCAATCCTTCTCCTTAGCCCATATACATACTTTATGCAGGTGGCATTACCTTCAATACCTACACGTAAGGCTTCCACTATAAGACTGCTTTCTCCATGATTACTTTTTGACAAGAGTGGAAAAACAAATGAAGAATCTCCAACAATGCAGAATATCGTCAGGTATTTGATAAGGTATGGTGAACAATCAAATTAAAAGTTGCCTAGTTAATGTCTTTAACATGTATAGCTTCTTAAAATGAAGCTGTCATATGCCTGTTTTAACCAGTTGACAGGACTGCAAATATATTGAAGCCAATGCAATTCAATAGCTTAGTTTAAAAGTTATGTCTTACCGTATGGAACACCATGAATATCAATTCCTCTAGCAGCAACATCTGTGCAGATCAGGAAACGGACATCTCCTCTCTATGAAAACACAGTTGTAAAAAAGCACTGTGTTAAATAAACCAAACAAAATTGCACGCAATGAAACAGTAGTCCTTTGCATTTATGTCACCTTGAAGTGTCTCTGTACAATTAGGAACACTTCATATAAAGCTCTTCCACAGAGCAACAGTGCTTTTTGAACATGAATATCTTGGTCAGTTTATACCCTTACTTCTTTCTCCAACAGCATAAGGCAAGCATAAATCAATGAATTGGTTTAGTTAAAAAGTTGCACCAGGAGCAGTTTAGATTGCACATTAGGAAAAGTTTCTTTACTGAAAGAGTGGTCAGGTATTGAAACAGGCGACCCAGGGAAGTGGTGGAGTTGCCATCACTCGAGGCATTCAAAAATGTGTAGACGAGGCACTTCGGGACATAGTTTAGTGGGCATGGTGGTGTTGGGTTGATGGTTGGACTTGATGATCTTAGAGGTCTTTTCCAACCTTAATGATTCTGTGATAAAACCAAACTGTCCAGTACGCAAATAACTTTTTAAAATATTCAAGAACCAAAGACTTTAAAAAAACGCCAATGTAATTTGTAACAAAGCTTAAATTTAGGTTTTATTTAAAAGTAAGCTCATCTATCCTCGCAGTGAAAATTCATGAAGGTCACACTGACTGACATAATATATGTCAGATACAGATTATATATAGATAGGTATAGATTTCCACCTACAGAAATTGTGCCTCAGAGTTTTAGGAAGCAGGTCACAGAGCATTTGAATGCAATTTAAATTAAATGAAGAACTACCAACACAAATTAACACATGATTTCAGATATCAGGAAGCGAGGGAAAAGCCTTCAAGAACATGCTGCATCACCTTAAATCTTTCCAGGTTTTGCTTTCTTTCTTGAGGTTTTCTGTCACCATGCAGACAGACACATGAGAACTGATGTCCCTTCCTATCAGGGCCTGAAAGAGTTGCTATGCATTAAGGTCATACATAAATTATGACACAACACCATACAGAAATGGAAAAAGAGTACGTCTTGTGGGCAAAAGTCTTGACTCGGGAATTTCACTTAATTTATTACCAATTAACAAACTTCTAACTATCGATACAGGCATTGGGGAAAAACAAGACAAACAATTAAACAAATACCTTTCCTCCCCACCCCGCCTCCAGAGAAGGTCTGTGCAGGCATGTCTCCTCACTCCTTCCTACTCTAAACTTCCCTTGTTTCTCCCAACATGTGTCTTCACCTTCCTCCTCACACGTCCCCTTTCAGTGTCCCCATGTCTAATCTCACATTTCTCCTTCCGTGTGTCCTTAGGCGTGTATTTTTGTACACACACATTTCTTCCTATGTCTCCTGCCCCTAGCAACTATCACTTTTCTTTAATTTACATTTCAGCAGAGGTACCATACACTCTTCTCATCGGTTCAAGTTTTGGTGGACGATTACTTCCAGCCATTTCAGAGCTACTAGAACAGGTACAGGGAAGTTCATTGCCTTCTCCCACAAAGGGCACCCCTGCAACTCCCCTGCTATGAAACCCTGACTTTTATGCCCAGTCAGTATGTCAAAAAGCTTAAGCACAATTCTATTTGTGTAAGTGTCTGAATATCAGTGACCTCTATGATAGAATTTCAGCTTTGAAATAAACAGGAAAGTGAGCAGAATAAGGTTTTTGTGAAAAAATATCACCTCCGCCCTGTTGGATGAAGTACTGTTCCATATTATCACAATCTATTTTAGTCCTGCAGAAAATAATGGCTTGGTCCATCTTGTGTTCTTTGATTGCCCGAACAGTGTATTCTCCTTTTAGAATTTTAATAGCTTCAGACCACATTTCTAAGTAAAAGTAAAGAAGTTATTTCACTCAAATTGTTCAAAAATATGGAGAGCCTCTGAACAGCATACATTTAAAGTTTTCTCTAGTCTTTCAGTAGACAGTTAAGAATTTTATTAGCAGAGCAAGTGAGCTAGACCTTCAATGTTTTCTTCTCCCCCTCCATGCTTCCTTGCTCTAATGTAATACAATACAGAAAGAACAAAATTACTTCAGAGTTTCAAGTTACTCAGACACATCAAACACTTATTTACAGACCTGCAAAATATATATTCAAGTCTTTTTCTCTCCCCCTAGTTACAGAATCACATTACTCTTCACAACTACAAAAATGTAGAAATAAAAATTTGGAAGAACACAACTCCAGGCTGATATCTGCTATAACTTAGCTTTACTTCACAACATCTATAAAGGATTATTTCCCAAGCTATTACTTAACCAGCGTTGCCAATTACCTGGAGTGTTAGCGCCAGGTCGTGTATTGTCTTTTGCATGCACTTCATCAGTCTAGGGAAAAAAGCAAAACAAATAAACCCCTCAAGTCATTAGTCCATACTTCAGAGAGGAAATACTTAACTCCATTAACTTATAATTAGCAAGAAATTAAATGAAGTTTAAAAGTAATCTTAGCATTCTCTTCTCCCACCAGACAAGCTGATGTACCTTTAGCTGAAGAAAAGTCTTGAGTGTAAGCACACGAAGCTTGTTCATAAAAACAGGACAATAAAATTATTTATGTAGTCACTGGATAGAAACCACCTTTGAATAGAGTGATGAATTAGAAAAAACAATCCATCAAACCTGAAAACAAGGTACTATAAACATGGCCAAATCATAAAAACACAGTTGGTCCTTGTTTTTTTGCCTATGCTAGGCTGAATCAGATATAAACCTAAAACCCAAGAAAAATAAATTTGTGCTAAGACTTAATGAAAAGGCTCTAACAGGCCTAAGAAAAGCGACGTTCCAGAGATAACAAGGGTTAAGAAAATCTATTAATTGTAACTGTGTTAATATTGCTGAGAATGAAATACAGTCACAGAGTTTCAGAACTCGAAAACGAAAGACTTTGAAAACAATCATTAACCTAACACCAATTCATGTGAGGTGGTGGTGTAGAATTTAAACTAGAGACTCAAACGTAGCCTGATATTAAATCCATTCCTCTAAAAATTGCTCACCTTATATAGGTTAGAGACAGAACTACTTTACAGAATGATATACATTGGAAGGTTTACTTCCTCCTGATCAATCAGAAAAGACAGGTACTAACTGCTGTTAGGCCACAGACCATTAGCTGTGAAATGAATGAAAAAGCAGTGCAGTGCCATTGCTCTGTAGTACAAATCAGAATGCTACTCTATGAAGACCTTTCTCAATATGTTCGTAATATTGAGCTGTTCAGAAACAGTTTTATGACATCACCTGTATCATGATACTGACTACCATGAAACAAACAATTTCAGATACACTTAAGTTTCAATGGCTGCCAAAGATCCTACAGGATTAGGCCCTAATTCTGAAGGTTAAATAACTAAACCTGGGCAAATAATTTTCACTTATAAGCCACTTACTCTGATATGATTCTTGCCAAGCCTTTCCCAGAGTTTGTCAGCTTTTGGATTTACAGGCACAACCACATGGTGTACAGTTTCAGGGACAGAATCTTCTCCTTTCAAATCAACCCAGGTGGGAAAATGCATGATCTTCTCAGACAGTTTTTTCACATCAAAAGAATGTAGCGTTGCAGAGCACACAATCACCTAAGAAAAAAAGCCATATGGGTATCACTGAAGATCAGATTGTCCCAGCATAAAAAGATCAGAGTAGAACTGGAAGAATGTTATGTAGTTGAATAGCATAACACAGCACAACAGAACAAGTCCCTGACTGGCTTTCCTCATCACAGGAATGACCAGCTGACAAGAGTCAAGAACACAAAATAGGTTACTTAACTATTCTCTTACAAAAACCCAATCATTTAAGAGGAAGAAGGCAGAATTACTGAGAGATTACCAATCAAGATTATTAGAGCATTAGAAATCATTATATAGTCACCCATTTTTCAGATATGTTTATGTCTAAATAACTCAACTGCTAAACACTGGGCTTCAAGATCTAGGATCCTAAAAATATATGTTTACACTCAATTACTGAACCCAATAAACAAGCATTAGTTTTGGACAAGAGGTATAAAAAAAATTCTACTTCAAAGAAGCATGCTCCATGCCATGTTATAATCAACAATTGAAAGCAGTGTACACTACACAAAAATCCACCTCCAATCAAAGAACAAAACCAAAAATACCACAAATAAAACCCCAAAACACGAGCAAATTTTATACCTGAAGTCTCTTTCCATCTGAAGTTATCTGGGGAATTTGACTGTGGATCCTGTTTATGAAGTCTGAATAACCTTGGAGGAGAAGGCCATCCTACATGGGAATAAAAGAAATGAAGTTGCAATTCTTATTTCTCAGTCTGTAAACTTGAGTTAAATAAGCAATACACCTCTTGTCTCAGAAGCTCTCTCTTAATTAGCTGGACAGGTTAGTGCCTGGCTGGGATATTATTACTAAGGAGGTAAAAAAAAAAAAAGCAAAAATTTGGAGTATTTCCAAGTACAGCTGCTGTGCTTCACAACAAACTGAACATCTGCCTCAGCAGCTTCTCATAGCTAATACCCCGAGGCATTCCATCTTTGTGATTATTCAGTTGTACTATAACAGATCAGAGAGGGAGGCACTCAATTCACAGCATACTGACTACAGCATTCATTGGCTTCAAGACCTGCTGGGTAATCAAAAATGCTTATCTTGTCTTTGTCCTTTCAAGTGCTCTGTACAGTGACAGACTTCACTACCTTGTGAATACAGCCTGAAATATATTTCTCCATCAGGAAAAAAAAAAAACCAACCAAAAAAACCAACAAACAACAGCTTTACCAAAGAGGCTACAAGGGAAAAAATAGTATGTATGTTACTATGGTTACAAACAACAAGAAGATTAACCTGGAATAGCCTATAGGTAGCTAATTGTTGTTCCACTGAAGTACCAAATGCTATAGAGCAATCATGTTTCACTGACTCTTGTGAAATGTCACATTGCATTTAAGAACAGAACTCAACTATCACATTATTCTCTACGTACAGCTTCATCCAGAACCAGGAATCTAACTTGAGATAAATTAAGCTTTCCCGTTGAGACCAGGTCATCCAGTCTTCCAGGAGTTCCAACGACAATATCCACCTATGAAAGATGTAAGAGTATGAATTGGTCCCATAACTAGATCAATTACGAGCTTTGTCTAAATTTAAGATGGAGACTATTATCAGTATGATGCCCTATTTTCTATTAATTATAACTCCATAGAATCCTAGAGTAATTCGGGTTGGAGAGATCTCTTGATGTCATCTGGTCTCCACTCCCATGATCATATGTAAATCAAGGACAATCTCCAAGTTGCTCTAGATAGTTGCCCAGTGAAAGTCTTCAAGGTGAGAGATCCAACAACCCCTCTGGGCAACCTGCATTTTGGTTCTATGGCCACTTCATGGGAAGAATCTGCTTCAAGCAGGAAGCCTTCACTGATTTTGGGAAGTGGTGTGTCCCAGCTCCCTTCTCTACTCCCCTTCCCCCCACACTACATAACTTAGTCACCTGAACCCAAACAGATGTGTTTTCGAATAGGGATAAAATAAATTCAGCTTTTCTCACTGTAGAAGTATACATATCAAGTCCATCAACTATAGAATTAACTTAAGATTTTGCCTGATTTTTGATGGAAATGTTCACTGTTATGAATTTAGCATTCACATAAAAATCTAGCAATCTTCCAGTTCAAGCCTGCTTAGGAGAAGATTTGTGTTTTGGCAGCTACAATCACTGAAAAAGCTTAACAATAGTGACGTGGTCTCACTTCCAAGAGTGAGTCTTAAAGAACGACTATGCTATCCCTATAGCATGACTGAATTGATTGAACATCCCATGCTGCTGAACTAGATCAGTTCCTTCCATGTAGGACTGGTTTGTAGTGTAGGTTGACACAGATAATTGCAAACCAGTTTTATTCACATAAATGTGAAGCAGAAGTTAACAGGAAAACTGTCTTGTTAGTTAAGGACAAAGGGCAAAAATTACACTTCTTTTTAAAATTTTCAGAAGTACTTAGGTCAAATTCTGTTGAAGCCAAGTACTATAAGCATTTGTATTGACAATTGCCATGGAAGTAAAGCAACAAATGCTAGACCAGTGTAACATGAGCTTGTTATCAATTGCACAATTTCTTTTTATCAGGTCTACAGGAGTTACAAGAAGCACCGTTACTATTCTCTAGCAACATCATGAGATATTCAGAACACAAACTATTAAATCATATGAACAAAAATGCAACTTACTCCTTGTTCCAGTATGGACAGTTGATCTCTTGCAGCAACCCCACCAATAATCAACAGTTCCCTAAAATTACATCAACATATTTTGACCTTTACTAATTTATTATATTCATAAAATATATTAAACATTTGGCTGAAGATTGATCCCTTCATTAGTAGTTGGCAATTAACAGCTTTGAACAGCTACTTTAAGCACAAAAGAATAGGAAAAAATAATTCTAAAATTCATCCCTTCATATGTAGTGTACTTCAATTCAAAAAGTGAAAGTTTTGTTAATAAATTGCATTTGATTACTTTATCACTGTTGTATTTAACACATTAACACCTTAACCAATTTCATCTTAAAAAAGAATCTGTTCCTTAAAAATCTCAAACAGAAGTTAGTTCAATAAGTTTCCTGTGTTCTTGAAAGCTAGTTGGAGGCCCGTATCTAGTGGTGTTCCCCAGGGATCAGTACTGGAGTAAGTAACTGGGTCCAGTTTTATTCAACATCTTCATCAATGACCTAGATGAAG